TTTCAAAAAAAAAAAAAAAAAAAAAAAAAAAAAAAAAAAAAAAAATAAAAAGCAAAGAAATGAAAAAAATATCATTATAACATTTTTATATTTATAATCGCCATTAAAATTTTTTTTTTTTTAAACTATATGAGAAAATTCTTCAAAATAAATAATAATTTTAATTTCTTATTATCATAAATGAGAAAATGAATTGTATTTTGGCAGAATTTACAAGATGTAATTTAAAAAAAATTTATAAGAAATGTATTGACACTTTAATTGTTATTTTATTTAAAAATAACAATTTTAATAGAAGATATGTATTTTTAAAAATAATATTGTGATAAATCAGAAGTTTTATTTTTTTTGTTTTTTCGTTTTTATTTTTTTACACGAATATTAATATTATATATATTTATATATATATATGTCGTAGTGGTGTAATTGTAAGTAAAAAAAAAAAAAAAAAAAAAAAAAATAAAAATATTTAAATATATGAACAATTAAAAAAAAAAATTAATTTTAAAATTGCATTCTACATAAACTTAAGAATACATCACAAAAAAAAGTAAAAAAGAATGAAAAGGAAAAAAATATTATTTTAAACAAGTAAAAATTATAATATATGTTTAAATTTTTTTTTTTTTTTTTTTTTTTTTTTTTTGTATATATAAATGTAGAAATATATCCTATATATTATTTAAGCTCAATTTTTTAAAATAGAACATGTACTCTTATATTGATTAACTAAATTTATTAAATATATATATATATATATATATATATATATATATATAAAGAAGAATATATAATATGAAATAATTAATTTTTAATGAATGTTATTTTTCATATACGAATATTTAAATTCTTATTCTTATAAGTATATCTAAATATATTACTTATAATTTCTTTTTTTTTTTTTTTTCTTTTTTTTTTTTTCTTTTTTTTGTTTTTTATATTTTTTTTTTTAAATTAAAAAAAAAATTTGACAAAATAACACCTTATATACATCTTTTTATAATTTTGAAAAATAGAAGTTTATATAAAAATAATTCATAATAGTTTAAAAGAAAAAAAAATTATAGTTAAAAGTATATATAATTTTATATTAAAATAACATTAAAATAATTTGAAATAATTTTTAAAGAGTAAGTTTAATATTTTTTTTTTTTTTTTTTTGTCAAATTTGTAAAAAATATAAGAATATATTATGAATCAAGTAGATGATTATGATTATTTTTGTCATAGTTGTGAAGATGTAAAAAGAACTAGTGATATAGAAATTATATATAATGGTGAAATAAAATGTAAATCTTGTAATAATGTAGGGTTTGTTGAAAAGATTGATGAAGATGATCCTTTAAGTTTTCATTCAATAAATGCAAACAGGGAAAATAGGGAAAATAGAGATGTTAGAAGTAACGAAATTAACAATAATACAAGCAATATTAATAATAGAAGTAGTATATATTCGAATACAAGCAATAACAATACATTTGTTACTAATGATAATATTTTTAGTGATCTAATGTTATTTAGAAATATGTACCATCAGATGTTTAATCCATCTTTTAGAACTCCAGAAACAGAAGTACATTTTACTGCTAGTGTATCAACCTCAAATAACGAAAATATAAGCAATGATAGTTTAAATAATGAAAATAGAAATAATAGTGATACTAGAAATAATAGTGATAATAGAAATAATAGTGATAATAGAAATAACAGTGAAAATAGAAATATTAATAACAATAATGAAAATAGAAATAATTATGGAAGATCTTATAGATATAGTAGAAGTTCTAGAAATCCTCGAATAATTACAAGAGCTATAGATATAACAAATATTCCTTTCAATTCTCCATTACGTTTAAATTTTCATGATTTAATAGATAATATATTAACTAACTCTTTTGATAATATTTCGTTAGATCAAGTATTAACTATTATAATGGAAAGTGATCCATCTAGAAATGGTCCTCCACCAGCATCTGAAGAAGTTATTAAAAATTTAAAAGTAGAAGTATTAACATCTGAAAGAGCAAAAGAATTAGAATCTTGTGCTATATGTAGAGAAGAATATAAAGAAAATGATGAAGTTCATAGAATTACTGATAATGAACGCTGTCGGCATGTTTTCCATTGCTCATGTATTATACCGTGGCTAAAAGAAAGAAATTCGTGTCCAACTTGTCGCTTTGAATTACCTACAGATGATCAAGAATATAATTGTAAGAGAGAAGAATTGAGAGAAAGATTAAATTCAGAAATTTCTCGTAATAATTCTCTTAATAATTCTAACAATATAAATACAAATGCAGAGAGTAATAATAATGAAAATATAAATTCGACTGAATGTAGTAGCAGGAATGAAAATAGTGCATATAGAAATGAAACTAATACAATTAGGAATGAAAATAATACTAATAGAAATGAAAGTAATAACAACAGATCTGAAGAAACACGTTATCTTCCATTCACGGATGAATATGATAATAATATGTTCGACAGTTTTACATCAGCTCAAACTAATTCTATTCTACAAAATTTTTTTAATAATTTTATGTCTAGCACAAATGATGCACATAGGATTAATAGAATATTTTTGTCACCTAATTCTTTTTCAAGAAATACTAATAGAAACGTAGATGCAAGAAATACGTATGAACATAGTCAGGAAAGGCAAAATGAAAATTCTTCAGAGAGATTCACATCAACTGAAGAAAAAAGTGAATCAAAAAAAAATGACAAAAATGAAAAAGGTGATGAAAAAAATGACATAAAAAATAGTCATCAAAATGATAATGACAATAATGATAATGATAAAAGGAATAATGATAATAACAATAATAATGGAAATAATAATAGTAATAATAGTAATAACAATAGTTACAATAATAATAATAATAATAATAACTATAATAGTAACAGTAATCATAATCATAGCAATAATGATAATACTGGTCAAGATAACAATTATAATTATAATAATAAAGATGACTATAAAAATAATAAGTTAAATGATAATGATATAAAAAATAGAGAAAACAATAATATTCACTTAAGAGTAAAATTAAGAGAAAATTCTAATAGATCATTTTTGACTGAAAATGTTTTTGATACTTCTAGTAATTATGTTAACAATGGAAACAATATCACAAGTAATAATAGATCAAACTTTTTTCAACATTATTTTAAAGATTTAGACAAAGGTTTTATAGATTTAAGTAATAGGAATAATTCTAATAGTAACTTTAATAATAGTTTTATTAATAGAAATGATAATTATAACAATAATAATGATAAACAAAATGACAATGCAAATTCTTTTAATAAAAATGAAAGTACTTCTAGAAATATTAGTAATAAAGAAAGTTTAAACGTTAGTGATACTTTAAAAGATCAAAATATATCACACGATTCTAATAATAGACATAAGAGTATATCAAAAAAAAATGAAAAAAGAATTTATGAAAAATTTTATACATATACTAATGGAAGTAACAGTAATAGTAATACTAGAAGAAGTCGAGAGAGTGATAATGAAAAAGAAAGTAGTAGAAAAAAATCAAAAAACTTTGAACATATGGATAGCTATAATAGTACTTCTATAGATGTAAATAATTACAGTGATAATAAAAATAACACAAACAAAAATATAAATCATGAACAAAAAAACAATGGAAAAAAACCAAATACAGTAAAAAAGTACTTTTTTGATAAATTACAATGGCTAACAAATTACGATAATAAAGAAAAAAAAAAAAATGAAAAAATTCAAGATTCAAATAATAGTAACATTAATCATGATAGCAATAAAGATAAGAATCAAAAAGATGGCAATGAAAATGTTTTAGATTTTCAAAATTTTGCAAAAAAAAATACAACATATTCATTAAAAAATAATATAAAAAGAGACTATATATATATTAATGATAAGAATAATGACAAATGTGTAGATAAACATAATAATAAAAGTGAAAAAATAAAAAATTCTACTAATGTTACTTCAAATGAAGATTCTCAAAAAAAAAATGATAATAATATATCAGGTTTTAAATTTTCGTGATTATCATAAAAATTAATCCTTTTTTGAATCTTTTTATATTATGAACTACCGAAAGAAAAATTATAATTTTTTACAACATTTTAAAGAATACAATATCACATTTTTTAAATATTCATAAAATAACTCTTTTATTTTGCACTGAAAGTTTTCATATTTCTGTATAAGCGAGATTTAAAAATATCAGGTCATAAAATTAGAGGAAAAAAGGATGATAAAAAAAAAAGAATGCATATAATTTGATATAGCTACGTATAGAGAGAAAGAATTTAGATTTAATACTGTAAAAATTAAAAAAAAAAAAATAAAAATAAAAAAAAAAAAAGTAAAAGAATAAAATCAAATATAAAAAAAATAATAAAATAAAGGTATTATTTATATTTACATTTTCTTTTTTTTTTTTTTTTTTTATTAAAATTAAAGTGGTTGTAAATATATATGCATATATATATTTACCTACTCATTATTTTATTGGTGTGTGTTATTACATATTATCATTTTTTTTTTTTTTTTTTTTTAAATTTGTTTTTTCCATATAAATTATTTCCTATTTTTTAAAATAAAATATATATTTTTTAATTTTATAAATAAGATTGCATTTTGTTTATATTATAAAAGTTAAATATGTAAAGGTTTTTTTTTTTTTTTTTTTTTTTTTTTTTTAAAAAAAA